TTGTTCAGGTGAATTCCCAAACATTCCCATCACCCCATATCCATAAAGCAGTTCCTCCCCATTTTCCTTAGCCCCTGGCCTCTGGCAATCAGCAATCTGCCTCTGTCTCCATAGACTCATCTTTGTGGATATTTTACATAACTACAATCATACACTATGTGACTGAGTCTAGCTGCCTTCCTTTAACAGGAGGCTTTGGAGGTTTATCCACGTCGTAGCAAATATCAGTGCTTCTTCAGTGTTTTGTTTATTTATTTATTTCTGAGATGGAGTCTCGCTCTGTTGCCCAGGCTGGAGTGCACTGCTGTGATGTCAGCTCCCTCTAACCTCCGCCTCCTGGGTTCAAGCGATTCTCCTGTCTCAGCCTCCCAAGTAGCTGGGATTACAGGCACCCGCCACCACACCAGGCTAATTGTTTTGCATTTTTAGTAGAGATGGGGTTTCAACATATTGGCCAGGCTGGTCTCGAACTCCTGACCTCAAGTGATCAGCTCACCTTGGCCTCCCAGAGTGCTGGGATGACAGGCGTGAGCCACCGCGCCTGGCTTTTTCATTCCTTTTTTGGCAATTATAATGTTTCATGAAATGAACAGACCACATTTGGTTTACCCATGTGTCTGCTGATTGGCCATGTCTTATTTCCACTTTTTGGCTATTACAAATAATGCAGCGCTGATATGAACATGCGTGTACACGATCTTACGCGGAAATGCTTTATCTTGAGTATATCATTAGGAGTAAAACTTCTGGGTCATCTGGCAAGTCTATTTTTAACATTTTAGGGCTGGGCATGGTGACTCATGCCTGTAATCCCAGCCCCCTGGGAAGGGTGAGGCGGGAGGATTGCTTGAGCCCAGGAGTTTACAGCGAGCCTGAGTAACGTAGGAAGACCCGTCTCTACAAAAAAAAATAAATAAATAAAATTAAAAAACATACTTTGAGGAACTGGTGCAGTGGCTCACACCTGTAATCCCAGCACTTTGGGAGGCCGAGGCAGGTGGCTCACTTGGAGTCAGGAGTTCAAGACCAGCCTGGACAACATGGCAAAACCCCGTCTCTACTAAAAATACAAAAATTAGCCGGCTGTGGTGGTGCACGCGCGTAATCCCAGCTACTCGGGGGGCTGAGACAGGAGAATCGCTTGAACCTGGGAGGCAGAGGTTTCAGTGAGCCAAGATCGTGCCACTGCACTCCAGCCTGGGCAACAGCCTGAGACTCTACCTCAAAAAAACAAAACAAATTTTGAAGAACTGCCAAACTTTTCTGAGGCAGCTGCACTGTTTTACATTCTCACCAGCAACATATGAGGGTTTTAATTTCTCTGCATTCTTGTCAACACTTGCTACTGTCTTTTAAAAAGTTTCAGGCATCCTAGTGGGTGTGAAGTGGTATCTCTTTGTGGTTTTGATTTGCATTTCCCTAATGACTAATGTCGTTGAGCATCTTTTCATGTGTTTATCGATCATTCTACATCTTCTTTGGAGAAACCTGTATTTGGATCCTTTGCCCATTTTGATTTTAATTTCTGTTTTTACAGTTGGAGTCTCACTCTGTTGCCCAGGCTGGAGTGCAGTGGTGTGATCAGGGCTCACTGCAGCCTCCAACTCTTGGGCTCACACGATCCTCCTGCCTCAGCTTCCCAAGTAATTAGGACTACAAAACATATCACCACACCTGTGTCATTTTTTAAAGCGTCTTGGTATGCTGCCTAGGCTGGTTTTGAACTCCTGAGTTCAAGTGATCCTCCCACCTCGGCCTCCCAAAATGCTGGGATTATAAGCATGAGCCACCTGGCCCAATGTTTATTTCATTTTCTTTCCTTCTTTTTTTTTTTGAGATGGAGTCTTGCTCTCTTGCCCAGGCTGGAGTGCAACGGCTTGATTACTGCAATCTCCACCTCCCAGGTTCAAGCTATTCTCCTGCCTCAGCCTCCTGAGGAGCTGCAATTACTACAGGCACCTGCCACCACGCCCGGCTAGTTTTTGTATTTTTAGTAAAGATGGGGTTTTACCATGTTGGTCAATCTGGTCTTGAACTCCTGACCTCCTCATCCGCTAACCTCCGCCTCTCAAAGTGCTGGGATTACAGGCATGAGCCACCGCGCCCCGACCCAAATGTTCTTCTTCTAGTTTGGGTCATTGTACTGCAGTTATGTGGGATGTTAATGCCGTGGAGAACTGGGAAAGAATGTAAGGGAATGCCACTATTTTTTGTAATTATTCTGAAAGACTAAAATGACTTCAGAATGAAAGAGTTAAAAAAGAGTTGGGCAGGCGCAATGTCTCACGCCCATAAACCTAACACTTTGGGAGGCTGAGGTGAGAGGGTTGCCGAAGCCCAGGAGTGGAAGGCTGCAGTGAGCCTTTAAGATGGAGACTTTGGCCGGGCGCGGTGGCTCAAGCCTGTAATCCCAGCACTTTGGGAGGCCGAGGCGGGTGGATCACGAGGTCAAGAGATC